CGAGGGATATAGCCTTCCAGCCATATACTTAGCAGCTGGGCCCATGCGGTTTTAGCTTTTTAATTAGAGGTATAAAAAAGAGGCTGTCGAAAATGCTCAATTTCGTCGACCTGACACTCCAGTTTGAGCACTTAAATATTAGTGGAAAGAGAAATTTGAAGGAAAACTAAGAAGACTATCGTGTAGGGCAAGGAATTCTCTGCAAAACGGTATAAAACTCAGTGGCAAAACTTTTCTTCTTCAGCGCGATATTTTGAGTAAGAAAAAAACGCCATTGCTTATGGGCCGACCTAATAGATTCCAATCAAATACCCAGTATCCATTAGAACTCAGTTCACGTTATCGGCGAATTATATCGCGTCATTCCCTCCATGGATCCATCAATTCAAACAAAGTACGCTAGAAAATTCCCATTCGTGTTATCAAGATTGCTTCACTAAGGCTGGCAGCAACCGGACCTACGGAGGCGGGGGAGGGTCGTATGTATTTCCTTATGAGAAAAAGGTTTTTGGTCTCTGAACTTCCTTCGATTTTGTGTCCTATCCAGAAATGTGACGAACATGTAGAGAAGGATTAAAAAAATAAAGCATATGAGAAATAAGACAAAAACGTCGGCTTGAACTTGAAGCGACCCCGTAAATTGTGGCGCAGTCGAGGTCTTATACAGCTTCTATGTTGGATAGCTGAGTTCACAAGTCGCTTAGTGACCATCTCCCCGCCCTCCCCACCTCTCCCCTGCTCTAAACGCTGGATCATCAACCTGAAATGCTTTCCTAGCCGCTCAGAACGCTCGTCTACGCTGACGTCACACGCTGACGCAAACTATGAACACACTTTTACCGTCGCCTGCACACATGACTCCTCTCTACCAGCAGGTCACATGCGACCTGCACGTCATAGATTCCGCGACTTACGCTTAACCCTGTCCCGCGATGAGGGAACTCCACACTGCATTACCCCCAGACATGTCGATGGTGAAAACATTGTTGATAATCTAACGTTTATATAAAATTTGAAGAAATCTAACAATCGCAACACCTGTAATCAATATACGGAACTAGGACACCATTGGCGGCGCTATACAGACACAGACGTAAACTTGCTTGGAACCTTCACCTACTTATATTTTTAAGGTCTTATAAAAGCTAAAAATTAAAAATGAGTACACAGACTACGAATACTTCAAAAGCAAAGTGAGCAGTAGACGGGATACTTCTGTTCAGTACCTCCTCACTCTCAATCGAGCTTATAGGCAGTGGGCCGATTGCTGGAGGCGTGCGGTTTTTGCGCGGGTTATTGGTAGAAATGCTGCCTGAGGCGCTTGACCACACCCCTTCCCCTCACACAGCCTTCCACACTGACGTTGGCCATCAATCGCCAGCCTCAGCAATCGTGTCTTTCACCTTCACTGAAAAAGAACAAGACCAGTGATACTCAGAACAAGGAATGCAACCCTTAAATTCGAAAGAATTGAAGTTTATTACTACGTTCAGATAAAATATCACTTTAATTTGTAACAACAAACACAAAAAAGATGCAAAGTGTTCACATCACCGCAGTACATTCTAGTAATAGAAGATATGCGGCACGGGGGCAGGTGGGAAAAATCACAAAAATACCCGTATCTCAAAATCCAAAGGCCGAAAAAGAAACCGGTTCAATTCAGAAAGATTGCTTCGAAATGAGTTTTTTGTTGCATTATCCAAGAGTCGCGATTGAATCAAATCAGCGACGTGATTGTTGATTAGATGACGGCGGTAGCAGAAGACAGAGTAGACGCGAATTAACCTTGAACAGATACAAATGACAGTCTGAGCCCTTTTTTCAGACCAAGGGTAAAGGTGTTGCACTCAGACCCACTGACAGGACTCAGTGCACGCCCTTGCCGCAGAAGAAAATTTTGGCAGAATACGATCTCCTTCAGAATCCCCCCTCCTCTCGCACGACCCCTCTCCTTTCGTTGCGCCAGCAATACTCCTAAATTTTCCTACTTTCCGAGTGCCTAGACGCCTTTCCCCAAAAACTGCTGTCGAACGGTTGGGAGGGGACGGATAGGGGGGGTGCGCGCCGGTGCTGTGGGGGGGTTGGCGCACTTTAAACATTTTCCTCAAGAGCAAGTACCCCACTTCCTCCCTGCGATCGACACGACACCCTCGCTTGCGATCCCCAACGTGCGACGTGCCTTTGAAAATTCGTTCTCGACAAGTAAGATCAGAGGCAAGTATTTTTCAGATTCGAGGAAAATCTTATCCTTGTTACGACCCCCTCCCCAGTTTTCTCTACTCAACCTTCGTACAACGGGAAGAGGGGTAAGTGAACAACCCATCCAGCTAGCGAAACTTATGCGTGGTCGACTAGGGTGGGTGGGGAAGGGGGCGGGGTGGGCTGGAGTGTGACAAGAGACCGTCACACTCCAGCCCACCTCGCCCCCTTCCCCACCCACCCTTGCGGCCGTCACACTGAGAATTCCTCGGCCTACCCTTGGCCTTGTCTGGTCTTCTAACAGCATTAATGAGAGAGTGTAACAATACCTTTTTCAAAACTATCCACCAATCTGATTCAGATTTTGCAAAACATTCACCAAATTCATCCGCATCAGGCAGAAAACTGGTAAGTGAGCTGCATACCAACCTGCAATGCATTGCATGACTTATGCAATAACAGTTAAACATACTTTGAAGACAAGTTCCACAACTACAATGAGCGGGCTTTGAAGTCCTAATATGATTTCATAGATGCTGGCTTACCAGTGAAGAATATAGTGAACAAAACGCTCAAAGACGTCCTAGATAAGGTCCCAGAACTGGACGAGACTTTGAAGGAAAGACATTGGACGAAGGGCAAGAGACCAGACACAAGCGACCTAATAACAGGAAGGCGAGCAAAACGACCGCGCTCAGCCCTACATGCAGTCATTTTCGCTGCAGAAGCTGAGGCGTGTCAGAGGGGCTAGGTTTGGCGCGCCCCAACACGTTCTCTACCAATTTTTGGAGCGTGTAAACAAGAAAAATTAGTGAACGGGCTGGCGCAGCGCTCAACCCACCCACCCCTTCTGACATGCCCTAGCGTCTGCAACAAAAATGACTACAGACTGCGCTTTGCCTCTGGGAGAGTGAAAGAGGTGAAAGTAGAAATCGTCCGTTTAGTCGTATGGTTGATCAGACGAACCACTGCGACGTCATTCTCAAGCACAAAACTTCCCAGTGGCAGTCATTTTTACCCATTAATTCTCAGTTGCGAATCGATAATTTCGTTGCGACCCTTGCATTTTGACAGCTCTCGTTGCTGCCGAAAATGTATACCACCTCTGATGATAAATAGGTGCAAGCGATACACTATCAGTGATGTTTTTATCCAGCGCGCTGGCCTTTCCGAATGCGTCATAACACTTCTCGTCTCAAAAACACTCCTTTCAGCCAGAGACCAAAATTTAGCAGAATGCTTCGTTAGTGGCTGAAGCTGCTCTTTCTCAAAAGAAAGTCTAGCAAGGAACTTAGACTTGAATGTGATGAGACTTCAATTCATATTCCAGTGAACTACCACTTTTAAGCAGCCACATAACGCCCGCGTAAGCGAGGTATACGAATTTCGCAACAATAAGGGTACCCCGTTTCCCACATTTCATGAGGAAACGGAACCACGTTGAACAAAAACCAATCTTTCATTCGAAAAACATCGTCACAGGTACTGCTCAGCAGACGTGACGTTTCATAACGTGACGTGCGAAGATTGACGTACCTGCTCACTTCAGGAGGTGGTAATGCTGGCTTCGGAGTATTTGGTGATTCCGTGAACGATGACGTGAGACTCAGCGAAGCCGGATTAAAATAGACATAGTGGAAGTCAGGTGTTGAAAGCACATCAGGATTCTGCGATCCTATGCTGAAATGATTGCAGTATTTCAAGGATAAGCGAATGGTGCAAGAGATGTTGTGGCAAGGTCTTGTTCACGTCCTACCACGCGCGGGATGCCAGAATCCAAAGCGCTGATAAGCTCCTGTTCAGGCAACCAACGCTCGGGTATTTTGGGTATCCCGTGTACAGATCGTCTGGGAGGATAAAAACAGAGTACACCAACTGGCCTCTGCAAGTCACTGTATGTCTCACATTGCATTCAACCCAGCCACTACTGTTCTAAATGTCAGTAAAAATGCGTGTTACCTCCTGCCACCACGCTCTCAAAACTTATTCTCCTAGTCGAAAATTTTCATTCCTTCCCATGGTGCCATAGAACGAGAATCCGAAGCTGGAACTATCAGGCCTTATTCATCATTAGGGCCGCTTTCTGTTCGCTGAGGAGCGTCCTACGAAACAAGCCCGCCCACCACAAAAAAATGTCCGTCGAGTAGAGAAATGGCCATCCACTATACAGGGGGGGGGGCAAAAAAGTCATTCCGGCCGAGTCACATATGAGCGAAGTTTTCGCAGCCCAGACAGAGGAAGTGGATATGAGTACCAGGGCGGAAGATACCCAAGATCTTCCTCTATAAGCAGGAGCCGGCTGCCGCCATTCACCTTCATGTACACCAAAATATGAAGTCATCTCCAGTCGCGGCCTGAGTGGAGAACGCCTTTGGAATTCACGTGGCCTCCAAACAGCTGCGGAACTTCTTGAATGGAATCACCCATGGATAGCTACCTGGAGACCAGTACTCTTGATCTGCAAGACCTCAAACAGTCGAGCCAGCTCGGCAACGTCGCTACGGTCCAGGACATCATCTTCACCCCATTCACCAAGGCGCGGGTTGATGGTGTGGACCGGCCGTACCTGGAATGGATGAACCGATATTTTCTTCGTGGGCCCCAGACTGAGGGTGTGCGCTGGTGGCTACATCGAGCAACTCGTTGAAGAATATCCAGGCTCATCAACATGTGGTTTCGCTCGAACCTTCTTTTTGATAATACTTTTGTACTGCTACAGCATCGAGTGCCACCACATGAAATCGAAGGGCGTTGGAAAAACTTTCGCCTACTTGGAATGGAAGAACGTTGAGTACCTGGAAAAGATGGAGTATTTAAGCGGGGGTCCTGAACTAAACCCCCTCAATTACTCGGTTCGGGCGGAGCTCAACAGGGTGGTCTACAGTGGCGGAGAAATCAACGATCTCGCTCAACTCCGGTACCCACTCACTTTCGCGCGGCCGAATCTCTCGATGGCGCTCCTCCAGAAGGCTGTGGCGGAGTCTACAGTATTTAATGTGCTCTTTAATATGGTAGTAAAAATGTCCGATAAAAATTTAATAAAGTGTAACTTATAGCGCCTTGAAAGTCATGGAGGCAAAATGACTTTTTTTTGGCCCCCCCCCCCCCCTGTAAGTATCGAAGCTGTACAGCACGAGCGTGCGAGTAGGACAGATCAGCTATCGAAAAACATTCTTGGGCCAAAATACGACTCCCCTCCCAGTCACGTTGGACAAACACGACCGCTCTCGTTCCACGACGAAGTACGACCCCCCCCCGCTGGAGCTGCCTAGTCATACGACGTCCCTCATACGCTGCATGAGAAGGAAACATGAGTCAAAACAGCTCTCTTACAAGAAAAACAAAAAAAAAAACAAATGAAACTCTCACCAATCTCCTATTTGTGAAGCAACCTTGCTCAACTCGCTTGACAAATACCCGTCAATATTCCTCAACAACATTCTGGTTACTTCTTGATTGGTGTCAAACATGCAAAACTGTAGCATTTAAACAGCGGTAAACCATCTGAAATACCTAACGCGATATAGCTACCCCTCGAGAAATCTATATGGAAGCATACCATATTATACTTTATGAGTTCCTCGCTGTCTTCATCGTCGACAGCATTGAAAAGATGAACTGTTGGAAGAGCATCATCCCCTACCAATGGTGCATCTGTTGAGAGGTCAGAAGGGCCGCGTAAAAATCGACCTTGTGTAGAGCTAAAGGTAAGCGTAAAATACTCGACCGAATAAATATCCCCTAAGTAAATCGCCTTTACCGCGACTGATAGTCCAGCTCATCACCGATGGTCATCGGTAAGAGACTCTGAGTGAGGTAGCGAAACAAAGACGGGAGATCACGTCGAGATAGAGAATAGTACAACACTTTGTCCTTAAAAAACAAACATTCATTATCAGGAAAGTGTAAAATTTCGTAGGCAGAATTGCACTCTCCCTTTCATATGTTGCAAGCTTACATGGTTCGTGAATTCCCCAGACCGGTGACGGCAGCGGATTGACGCAGCAGACTCCCTGTTTCAGAGGCTACTTCACGTTAGCAAAAAGGATGAAAGGACAGAGGCTTGCAGAACCACCAAGTGAATAAGTAGCAATCTTTTCATAACATGAACACTTCCCTGATTCCCCAGCTAAGAATCAACTTGCACAGTACCCTCCCTCAAATGTTATTCCTTTAGAAGATGGAGTTTTGAGAAGTACGGGAGTAGTTCACAGCCTTGTTCGCTGTGGACGATGGGAAGTGTCAAGGGGGAAAGGTTTGCCCGTAAGTTGTGTGTTCTTTCATTTATTTGGCAAGCGTCGAGACTGTATCACATAGCTCGTATCAGTAGTTTTCCGCTACATGTTGTTGATTGTTTGCTTCGACGATTGAGGAGAACGGGCTGCAGGCGGCTCCATTGGCCAAGCCTCAGGCGAGCAAGACTGCATTTCGTGCAGCGCTGGAATTCTCTCAGACGACTTCAACGAGCAGGACTCACCAAATCACTGAGTACTGGCTCTAGAGAAACCAGAATTCCAGAACACAGCGCATTTGAAGGGATACCATCAGGAGTCGTATTTGCTCGCTGGGAAGAGCATTTGTCTATGGGGGTCTATTAGGACTGGTCTACCAGGACTGTTCCCGTAACCGCAAAAGGAAATCCCTTGTTTAACTGTTTTTCCGCAGCCATTCGTTCCATACGCCTACTAAATTAACACCCACCACCTTAAAATGGCGGGGTGTCGTCAAGGTCCTATACACCTGCTATTCTCGTTAGTTGAAATAAGTAGCTTGGTGACGACCTCTCATCACCATGATCCCCTACCCCTCGACAGCAGTTTTTTAGGCAAAGTAGAAAGGTTTTTGAAGAATGGGAAAAACGTTAACCAAATGGGAGAATTTGACAAGGGTGATAGATGCGATAGGGAAGAAGGCCGTAGTGGAGGAAGAATTTCGGGAACACTGCGTGTCATTTGACACTGCCACTTTCCTTCATTCCAATAGTGTACGCAGGTGGGAATCCATCATTGCCTTGCTGGGGCGTGTCAAGAGAAAGTATTGAGATTTCCGTACAACAAAACCTTTCAAACAACCTTTACGTATGCAGAACAAACCTGATACAAGACAAGGATTTTCTGTATCACAGGGAATTCCTCCATGAGTTCAGATGACATCGATACCACATTTAAGTATGTGGGTCCATTAATTTTCAGAAATGCAGCCCCATTCAAATAATCCAATAGTGGCATCTAAAGACTTTGTGAATCTTTTCACTATCTATACATACTCCAGAATACAAACAGATGTTCTTACCCGATGGAGTTTCAGCAGCGGCAGATAACGACCGAGAAAATACTCTAGACGTTCCTTGAATTTTTGCTCATTTCTTTGCCTGGAATAAACTGAATAACTTGGTTTTATTTGTTTAGAGGCAGTGGGCACGACTGCTGGAGGGAGCGGTTTGTCAGCGTTATTGGTGGAAGGGCTGCGATAGGGCGTTCGGCTACGCTCTGCACAGCCCTTACACCAATAACATTGGCGACAACCGCCCGCCTCTAGCCATCGTCCCTTGTGCCTTTAACATCAAAAAACCTCTGGGAGCAGAAGTTTAAAAGAGTAGTAAAACTAACCTGAAAGGACTGAACTCCCCGAAGAAAAGGCGAAACATCTTGTAGACATCTGTCAAAACGTTTTGGATTGCAGGCAGAAAGACAGAGTATTCAACTGCAGCGTATTGAATCCTTAATACCGATTTCGGTAATCACCGACAGCAAGGGTACAGTTCTGGCGACAATATGGGATAAAAAATGATTTTGATCAAATGCACAAACTTACTTTGAGAGAGCAAGACCAATAAGGAACTCGCAATCTTCCACTTGTATATAGACATGCTCGGACTTCTGCGTGGATACAGTCCGGAAAGGAAATTCGGGTTTTTCTGCATGTTCTTGAGGACTGACGAAATTGTCCGTGAAGTTGACGACAGCTTCCGCAAATCCAGTGATCTCTGCCTTGAAAAGACATTATACAGTGGTTTGAGGGCATTGTGCGCGATGGCTTGGGGGCGGGCGGTAACTGCCAACGTCATTGGTGGAGGGGCTGCGATGGGGCGTGTGACAACACCTCACTCAGCCCCACCACCAATGAGGTTGACAATAATCTCCCACCCTCAGCCATCGCGCTCTTTGCCTTGAAGGAGTACTGATAGTATTTTCTGGACGTTTCAGAACCACAGACTTCCGACATCAACGTGCTCTAATAGAGGAATGTTCAAAAAAATTGAGCATTAAAAGGTATTCGGCGCGATTATTTAGCCTGAAACGTGTTACTCGTGCCAGGCAGACGTCTTTCTGATAGGATAAATCGCCCAAGGTCTTGGACTAGTGCACCTCCCTAAATGATCACTAGATGACCTGGCCAAGAAACTTGAGCACCGAAGCTGGTTCACAAGGCTTTATGAACGCTATCAACTACGGAAGCCTTGAAGTTCAGTAGTCCGGACGAGTTATCCGACATGGTAGACACCTATCAGCATACGTAAGAATACGAACGGCAGTTTTATTGAACCAATCATCACCTTCCCATCAGAGGGAAAACAGGAGCAATAGACGGTCGACCGTACAGCAGTCGTTTATGGGACAGCATGGAGGCTTTTCAAGCAAGGGAAAGGAGAATGGGGAGCCCGGACGTTTCTTTTTTTACTTTTGCGAGCGCGCCAGCGATTTCACCATGAGGTCAGTATGAAAATTTCAGCGCAGTATGACTTGGAGGGAGGGGCATTCTGCTTTTCGCTACTTCCCTTTGTCGTACTCCTTGCTTTTTACAAGAGTTGATGGGTATTTTTTGCACAAGTTGACGAGAAGTTCTTACGATATGACGTGTCTCTTCATGGCATCACAAGATTGCACTGGTATCTGCATCTGCATAGGTGGCAAGAAAATCGTAATGTGCCGCGCTAGTGGGCGTGGTAAGCGACGCCGCGTTCGACGGACGAGTTGTCCTGCCCTGCTCTTCGAACTTCAGCGCTAGAGGGGATAGACATTTCGATGTCATGAAGTCGTGCATCCGCTTGAGCACTCGTGAGTTTCGCTGCACCTTTACTACGCGGCAGATTACGATTGTCTTGTCCGTCGCCAGATTTCACAGATCTCTTTTTGATGGCTTGACAGGACAGTAGGAGGCAGCAAAGTGTAATACGCCACCCCCAAGCCGAAATACAACAGGATTGTGTTAAGATCAACATCAATTTCAATGAAATCGGCAAAATGCGCACAAATAGTTTAAACGCAAATGTCGTAGAGGGGTCATTCTGCCTCTTCGCTAGTTCTTCTTCGTTCCGTAGACTGTCAGACTTGTAAACCCTTGCAGCAAAATGGTACAATTCGACCACTTTTGTAGCAGGAATTCACAGGTTTTCTGACTTGTACCTTGTACAAGTTTCGCTGAGTATCGTTTGTACCCCCACAAAGTCGAACTGCGGTGATCGCTTGTTAGGCAGAAGCAACAAACCGCTGGAGCTTTGAGAAATTCCTTGTTCCTCGTGCACAATCCTATTCCGAGAGGCTGGGAAAATCATTACCATCAGAAAAAGTACCTGACGATCCAGTGTCTCGCCTTTTGGATAGAAATACATGATGCGTTGATGTTCCTCTCCTTCGCGTCGCCCAGATGCTGGATGAGCTACGAAAAAGAACTCAAGAATATCTGAATAACATGATTTGAATAGAAGATTTAACAGCACGAAGATAGAAAACGAGAAATATGAACGAATTACCCACCTGGCAGGCGAACCCACATTTCTGCTTGTGTAAAATTGGGGGTATTTGTGGAAAAGAAATATAACGGATTTGCAAACGAACCAGACAACATCGTCCAGTTAGTCGGTAAACATAAACACGTTCACGATTTGAACAGTTTGTGCAACTTTGCGTACACTTTAAAAATGCAGCTTACGTAATTCTGCAGAACGAGGTTTGAACATCCGTGCGCAGCTCAACTATGAGTGATTCATTCGTGTCAGCTGTGTCGAAATCACACGACAGTTTTTCACCAGTTTTTGTTTTGTATTTGCTTTTACTACTCCGCTTGTGAAGGTTTTATCCCTGTACGCAGTAAATGACCGACTACACAATAACCGGATTGGGGAGTGGAGAGCGGTACGTTTAAAGTCACCTCCGGCAATAACTTCTAAGTTGGTTTCTTCCTATTAGTTTCATGGGACTAGACTGGGCATCTCTTGCAATTTTCCATAACCTGCGAGCCCTGACTTTGCCATTCAGCCAATATCGAGCAACAAAATTTTCGTTGTTTTATTCTGACAAGTCTTGTCGCGGAGTTACCTAATCGCTACGAACAGCTAGGAGGTTTCGTCCTGGCCGAGTTCATTACTTCAGACACTATTTTAATAACTTGGTCGTTTTGGGTGCTAATGCTAGAAAGAAACACCGTGTCAGGATATTTTTCAACCGCTAAGCTTCCTCGTTCATTTTCCCTCTTTCTTTTCCTTCCCTCTTGGTCCGTCCTCCTTCCAAATTCTCGTAAAGAAGGTGCGAAGAAGCCTTGTAACCCCTCTATGTGACTATTTGCGCTTCAAGCCTGAGCTTTGGTCAAAGGAGAAGCTGCTGTCTGGCTCAGCTCAAAATGGGTGCCTCAGCACCTGTATTGGGGTCTATCAGCAAAAGCATTTGAATCGCAATACTAGCGATGGAGGTTTTTGGCGCTGCGTCCTTGCGGAGATCACCCGCCAGCCCCCTTGCCCAGCTAATCATTGCTCGATGGAAACCATGTCTTGTCTACGGGACTACCAAACTGGTCGTTGCGCTCTAAGTCTGAACCTTCTTGGAAAAGGGGTAAAGGGACGAGATACAAACTACGTTAGGGGAACCACTTGGTCGCACTAATGTTGTTGAGGGACCACTCACCACTGCATCCGTATACCTTGATTGAGGCTAAGGCCGAGGCACCGTTCAGACTTCGCAATGATGCGCGTCAACGGGCTGTAACGCGCTACAATTGCAAAGTGCTCCAATCCTGCAGACGCGAGCGCAGCAGCCCAGTTCCTCCATACTCCCTCAATATACTAGCGGCGCCTTCAGCGTGTCGCGCGTCGTTGCGAAGCCTGAACGCTCTATTATGCAGGACTATACCTCGGCGATTCTGATCTTCCGTGCAGAAAAAAATTAAACCTGAGCCTTTTTGGGGAAGGGATACAGATTCGGAGCATCAGACCAGTGATCTGCCCTCCCCTCCCCTGTGCAGTATACCATGTCAGTGGGAACTTGAGCCCTAGAAGAAGTGGTGATGGTATTAAAGCCAAGGAGCAGCAAACTCCAGTGCCATTCTATTTTGCCTATCTACCAAAGATCTATGTACGAATTGAAAAAAGCGTTATCATCGGAAACGTAACTCCCGATAAAAGTGCAACTAAGAATTTAGTTTTTTTTTGCAGTAGTGATACGGTGGCAGTATACCAGTGACTAAGAGGAACTGGTTTCTATGAACTGGAATACTTTGCATGCACAACGGTTACCAGAGAATTCCTCGAATCTGTTGTTTTTGGGATGACGTTTAGGCGGTGTTCGTTCAGGAGGGAGGGCATTTCGCTTCTTCGCCAGTATTTTTTTACTAGTTCATACTAACAGATCTCTTTTAGTTGAAACCTGTAAACTTTCGTAGAGCTACGAAGAATCAAGTATTCGTACGTCGATCTGTCCAGCCTCGTTGAGAGCCTATTGGTGCCCCCATCAAACCGCACGAAAACCGAAAAATAGCTTCTTGTTAATGTTATCTTCGAACTTGAACTCGCTCAATTTTTCCTAAATTGTATCCTTGGTCGGAACTCGACTCAGTTCGGCTTGGTGGAGGACCAGATTTTACCCAGTGGAGCTTCTTTCTACAGGCCATCCTGCGAAGACCTGTAAAGTCCTGTGACCAAAGTGGCTCACTTTATCCAGTTCCGCTTCACAGGCTTTTACTAACTAAAGTGGGACCTATTACTCGACATGAACGCGCAATGGAATTAGCCAAATTGCGAAATGCGCAAGCGGAACAGCGCCCGAAACCTTCGCCTACCTTTCTTCAAAACCGCGTTTTTGCAAATCAAGAATAGTTTGGTGGTTAGCATTTCCATACAAATGAAAGACCGAGAGCGCTATAGAAACTTTATAGCCAAATTTTTGGACAGATTTCGGAAGTCATAATTGTGAGGAATGCTGCCTTTTGCTGACAAATATAATGTGCAGGTGGGCTTAGTCATCGTGTCAATGAATTCGCTCTCTGTTTAGTCACCTGCCCGCAGTATAATGTTGTTTTTATGTAGTTCGATAAGGTTCCCCTTAGGAGCTGTTTAACCTTGTTGGAGCCATTTGTGCTAGAGGTGACCTCTTCTCAAGCTGATTGTTTTCGTGGAGTGTCCATCTAATGAAGACTTGTAGCAGGCCTCATTCACACTTTGCGACTGAGGAGATTTGGCGATTCAGGAAACTTGGTCATTCGAGGGATCGGGAGAAAAGTGTGTCGATCTGGCAATTGCGGAGATTGAGCGATCCAGCGATCTGAGAGACTCGGCGTTTCCGGCGATTGCGCGCCAAAGGGGATTATGGAACGGCGCCGGGCGGTCGCTAGCGATTTTACGATTTTGCGGTCTCCCAAAACGCCAAAACGCCATGTCTAGCGGCAGATCGATAGTTATTCTTGATATTCTTCTCGTCGCGCAATATTCCAACTCGCTGAATCTTTTCTGTCGCAAAGTACGAATGCGGCCCAACCTCTGGTGTAAAATAGGCTCATAAACCTTCACTTTTGCTAGATTCGCAGTGCAAATTCATTTTTCCGCCCTTAGACCCATTTCCCTCCTGTCCACCGCTCCCAGGAAGTTCCCCGCAAGCCACGGTGTTTCGACAATTTGCAACATCCGGCGAACACTGAGTTATGTCTTTTAGGCTCATTTTTATTGGCTGTGAATGATTCTGTACATTTTGGTTTATTTACCAGTTGAAACCTTTTACACTTCATTATTCAATTTCAGCAAGCATGGGTAGCGAACCAAGTCCTCTTTGGGACTTTTGCGGATTTTCAAATGGATCCTCCTTCAGAACAAAATATTTCATGGACGAATCAACAATGACGTTAACACCATGCGGTGAATTTGCGTTGATAATCCCACAGTCCCTTCCTCTTCTGTTCTTCTCCGTCATCAGCCTCCAGCTAATACCTGTAAGTTTATCAGGTTTTACGAGCATTTTCAGTATTCGATATTCTTTCCAATATTTTTCATCTTCACTGAAATATTGGTCTGAAATAGGAACCACAAAGATAGGGGTTTTGGGGTATGTGCAAGACAATCGTAGTATAATAATCGCTAGACATTCGCTAGTGGGTGTGGCGAGCGACGCCACTCCTCTGCTCCAGTTGACAGAGTGATACACATAGAGCACTTGCCGCACACTGCAATGATGTGCAGCGTGCGACAAATTACGATTGTCTTGTCAGTCTGCGGGTGTTGCGGTCCGCATCATCAGAGGCTGGAGAGCTGTAGAATTTGAAGAAAGAAATACATACGTGACGATTCAGGGAATCTAAAATTCCAAAAGTACTTAGGAGAGGACGACTTAACCAATTAAAATACGTTTTCGAGGATTCTCCAGCTCTGTAAGGCCGCGTTCTTAGGTTGCGACCGTGAAGAAATGCAGAAGTGCGGAAAGTGCAGAAATGACGAAAAGCAACAGATACGTATCGATTTGAAGAAATGCAGAAATGCCGAAAGTGAAGAAGTGCGGAAAATCGATACGTATCGGTTGCTTTTCGTCATTTCTGCAGATTCCGCACTTCTGCACTTTCCGCACTTCTGCATTTTCCGCATTTCTGCATTTCTTCATTTCTGCATTTCTTCATGGTCGCAAGCTATGAACGCGGCGCGGCCTAAGGCCGCAGACACTAAAGCTCGAAACGTCAACTAAAGCGAAACCAATGACACACCTGGTCGGCATAACAGAATGAAAAATTACCTAACGAATTTCTAGAGTTCAAGAAGGCTGGATCTGGAATTTATTTTTCACTATATTCATCCAACTGAAGTGATTTCAGGGAGGATTTCACCCATTCGACAGTGAAGCGATCTCTATCATCTTCACAATGAAGATCATAGTTTGTGTCCTGACAGTGCTCTCAATGAGCATTTCATTTGCAATGTCGCTATTCCCACAGTTTTATCTGAGACCAATTTTTCTTATTGAATATAGTATTCTGGCAATTGTATGGACAGCATTTGCAGCTGTTCTGATTCTTTCAAAGATGAGCAAGAGGTGAGCTGTTTGAAGATGCGACTTTTTTGTCAAAAAAACTTATTTATTCAAACGCATCTGTAAACGTATGCTCGCTTCCGTAACTGAAGGGAGCTGTGGCGCGAAGTTACTAGGCCCATACGATCCCTTTGCCGTGCCACTGCATGGGCCCCCTGCGATATATGCCCAGGTTTTTTATGGTCAAGAAGGGGAGTATTGCTAGTAGTTCAGGTTCCTCATCAACCGCATAGTGTACGAGCTGCTCTTTCCTTAGGCGTCGTCAATACTTCGCGACTCGGGCGATTCAATCGCGCGACGCGTCTCACCACCCCTCGGTAGTTTTTGTAACGCTGCAACTGTCGAGAACAGTTCCTTCCTGAATGTGACTGGATTTGCAGCTCGCGGTCTAACGATTAAAGCTGGACCCGGCAGTCGCAAGTCGTCATTGTCTCAAAATTCTCTAATCACGCGACTGAATTGCTCATGTCGCAAAGAATGAACACATCCTCAGGGCGCCTATGGTGAGACATCACTCAAAAAATGCAATGATTTGAATCACATGTTGTTTATTAGTGCAGCCCGCTGTGA